AAATCACAACAAAATTAATAACATCACTAACTTTAATTCTGATTACATCAACAACGATGACGTCATTCTCAATAGCAGCAACAGCAGTAGTAGTAGAAGCGGCTGTAGTAGAAACGGCTGTAGCAGCGGCTGTAGTAGCGGCTGTAGTAGCGGCTGTAGTAGCGGCGGCGGTAAAAACAACATCAAAAAGGACAAAAATGTCAACATTGAAAGCCACATTAACAGCCATGCCAGTGACAGCAACAGCAATGACATTAACGTCTTCTACAAAGACAGCACCGCTGGCAACAAGATAATAATTAACAACAGCAAGATACATTACAATAGCGGGTCTATCTATACGAATGATGATCTCAACTGTGAAACTTACGGCTACTACACTATTGACGAGAAAATTGAATTGCATTACGTGGGAAAGAGCGGAAACAATAACAACAACAAAAACATTAACAACAACAACAACATGAGCCATTATAACAACAGAAATGAATTTATAATAAGCAGTAATAGTAGCGCTCCTAATAGCAGTAAAAACATCAAGAAAATTAACGTTTGTGAATTCATCATACGTGATAGCGAGGATTCTGACATCAACAACTTCAGCAACAACAACTGCAGCAGCAGCAACAACAACAACAAAATCACCAACATACAGGAAATCATCATTCGAAATAGCGATGATTCTAATGGCAATAAGAGCGTCAGACATCAAAGTTTATTCAAAGAAATTATTATTCGTAACAGTAACAACATCATCAACAAACTCAGCTACAAATTTAGTAAAAATAATTTCAAAGATAGCAACAACAACAACAACAACAGCAACAACAACAACAATATCTACAACAACACTAACAGCAATGTACGACTTAATAATAGCAAGATTCAAATTAATACTAAACCTACTACTGCTGCTACTACTATTACCACCACCACAACAACAACTACTTCTACTACTAAGAACAACAACAACAATAATAATAAAAATAAAAACAATAATATTAGCAACAAAACTGACATTAGCATAAATAGGAACAATGTTAGCTGTGGCGTTTATGCTAACTCGAGCACTCATCTCAACAATCAAGCCAAGAAACATTTGGTGGAAGTAATAAGAAAATTATAATTATAGTAATAATAATAATAATAAGAAGAAGAAGAAGAAGAAGAAGAAAAAGAAGAAGAAAAAGGAAGAAGAAGAAAAAGAAGAAGAAGATAAAGAAGAAGAAGGAAGAAGAAGAAGAAGTAGAATGCAATTTAGAAATTACCACTAGAATCTCAATCCAAATCACACACTTAAGATATGCAAGTTAGATTGTATATCAAGCTTATCAGCCGATAGACAATCTCCTCGTATGTCATATCTATATTGAATGATACACTCGTATATCATATATGTATATTTATTGATACACTTGTATATCATTGATACACGATTTCATTAAGGCCGGTTTCAGATGCCAATTAAAACCATTAAAAAATTATGGCATAAATTATAGATATGATAGATAATTAGTTAGTTAGCGCATAATTAAAATACTAATGGCTCTACTACTACTACTAATACTAATAATAATAATAATAATAACGGTAATGAAACATTTTCAAGAAAATGTTTAATATAACCCAAAAAATTAGTTTTGTATTGCTGTAATGGTGATGACTGTATGAGCAAATTTCATTCTGGGATGGATTGTTAATAAAGAAGAAAATATTTTAATTGCGTATGCCTATTTGTCTCTTTATCTATGTTTATCTGTTTTTGTGATTTATCACAAAAGAACTTCTTGATGTTCAATGTTACATTTAAAAAATAAAAAAAAGCCAAATGATTGTATGAGTTTAAGAAATAATTTTATTGAACTAATTAAACTAATTAGTTCTGCTTATTAAACTAGTTAGTATAATTAATCTGTTAGTTAAGAAGACCTCTATATCTTTATATAATATGGCGGACTATTTATTAAATTTTTTTAGTTTTTGTACATAATTTTCATTATTATATTGCTTAAAACGAACCACAAATATTTAAAATAAATATGCTGAAATTGAATAACGCAGTTGTTTCTTCTCGAACTTCGAACTTTCTTGTTACATTACTTACTGCTTCTTTGTTTGTGTGTGTGTGTGTGTGTGTGTGTGCGTGTGTGTGTGTGAGTGTGTTAGCCTGTGTGTGTGTGTGTGGTGTGTGTGTGTGCGTGCAACAAGTTGCCATAAGCAGATGTAAGCACTTAAACCATTACACCACAGTTTCAAAATAGTTTTTGGATTAGTGAATCGAAACCTAACAAATTTTTTTATCTCTAGAAACTCCCAAAAACCTTTTTTCTTATTCACTCAATAGCCGAAACAAATGAAACGGTGGTAGTATTAGTAAAATTTTAATTTGTTACAGCCGCTGGGGTATGCATAACATGTGCGGTTCTACTTAAGCACCGATACCTAATTTATACATCCATCTATACACCCTATACAATGTTTTAGTAAAATTTAGCATGTATAGTTATTGTTGATATCAAATTTATAATAGAGTGACACACGATTCTGTTTTGTGTGATTGGTTTGTAAATTATTTTAATCAGAACAAAAAGATTAAAAGGTTTTATTGATAAATACTGGTTAATGTTTTTTTTATTAATAATTATTTATCCATTATGACGTAATATGTTAAACCGCTTTTTTGTTTGTCTAGATTTAAATCGAGAAAAGTTTTGACGGTACTATAAATAATTGTTTACAGAATTTTAAATACTATTAATATAATATTAATTAATAAAATGATAACAAAAGTATTTTAATTACAAGTCGAAAAACAGCTGAAAGTAATAAATAAAATTCTTGAATCGCTATGGAGTTAGAGAAGTTGGGTTATTTTCCACTCTACACTTTATCTTATTAAAAATTAAATAAATCCAATTAATTAAAATGAGGCAATTAATATTTCTAATGATAATAAAACAAATATTATCATATATTTTATTTTTATAACCCGATAAATATCAAAAATGTTAAACAGCCCGTTATAATAATTTCAATTGTGAATGATAAGGCATAAAAACAGCAACGGTATAAAAGAGCGAATAACAAATAACATAAATAAAAGTTTCATTAAACCATAATAAACTACAGAATAATAAAGTTAGAAACGCAAGTGGCCCTACTAAAGATGGGTATCATAAACACAGAGGAATCATACTTCGAAGCGGAATTGAGGGTGTTAACGTGTTGGGAAGATAAACGATTGGAAAGACTCAAAGTATTTTGCCAAATTTTTTTTATAATTTTGGTATTTAGGGCTAGTTTGGAAGCTGGAGGGTAACGAAAATGTAGAGAAAGTAGAAACTCCTAATTTATTCAGGGGCGGTCTTTTGTTATTCGCCAATTATACTCATATATGATTGAGGGGGTCCTTTGTATTCCAACACGGCACATAAACAGCAATTCTTTCCATGAACTTTTGCAGTTACACCTAATTATTTTCACCATCATCACCATCTTCTTCTTCATCATCATTACTGACAAAAGTTCACTTTTAAACAGCTGAAAGACCTCATCGATATGGAGAACTTCTGGGTGCCTGAGTTGAAAATTCAAAACGCAGTGGACAAAGTCGAGAGGTACATGCGTTTAATTAACCCGTCCATTTATTTATTCGTTCGTTCGTTCGTTCGTTCGTCCATTCATTCCTTTTTTTCATTCATTCATCCACTCACTCACTCACTCACTCACTCACTCACTCACTCACTCACTCACTCACTCACTCACTCACTCACTCACTCACTCTTTCATTCACTCACTCTCTCACTCACTCACTCACTCACTCATTCATTCATTCATTCTTTCGTTCTTTCGTTCATTCATTCATTCGTGCATTCATTCATTCATCCATTTATCACTACTTCTGAAAGGTTGAGTGGTAAACTCAAGGAAGACACCCAGAGGAAGGCTTTCGTCATCAAAGAAGTTACCCTGTGGGGAAGGTTCATTTTCTCTACTGAAAGCTTCTATTATCCTCTCGATATTCAGGTTTTTTTTTAGGTTTTTATCCCATTTTTCGTTTATTTTCAATTAATTTTTAATTATTTGTCATTTATTTGTTGTTGAATTAATTTAAAATTTGTGCAGCACGTTGGTGTGATAAGGAAGGTGCCTGGCGTTGCCGTTGCACTGACTGGGTTTGAATGCAAAGGGATTCCCTGCTATCACATCAATCGACTCACGTGTCTGCTGCACTGTGTGATTTTTGAGAAATACAAAAAATTGTATAGAAATCATTTTTCTCTGTTAACAAATAAGTATTTGAAGTATTTTTTACCATTTCCTGTTGGTTTTATTATTTAATAAGTAACATTATATAATTGTTTTATTCACATTAGAACCTGGAATTAATTTTCTTCTGTTCAAACAGTGGTCGGAGGTAATAAAGAAAAAAATTCTTTTCAATATTAATATTGTAATTGATGTTTTAAGAAAGTTCAAATTAATCACAGCAGCTGCAGATGACATATGACATGACATAATGACCCATGTACTTTAAGGTCAACGTTCAAGTCAAAGTGCTATAGTTCAATTCCTGCGTGTGTTTCTTAATGTTTCGCCCTTCAAAATGAACCAACTTCATTGCTTGTTGCACTAGCCACTCAGCAGGGTTATTAACTCAAACCCCTCTATTCTGAAAAACTCAATCTCAACAGTTTAAAATGAATTTTATTTAAATAATTTTTAAGAATTAACGAGAAAAAAAATGATATCTTAATCGTACGCCGTCTAGAAAGGTCCTCATCATAAACAGTGTGAGCATGTTACACTTTGTGAAGAACGAATACCAATGCCAGTCGATCGACTTCTCCATATTCGACCTGGTGGACAGTGCCACAACTAGCGACATTGACTACTACCGGAAGAACTTCTCCGTACTGAAGATTACATTCTATGCCGAGAGGAAGTTAACCATTGATACCATTAAGTGGCTAGTTCTACCCGTGCGTCTCTTGATTATTATCATTATTATCATTATTCTTTTTTTATTATTATTATTATTATTATTATTAGTAGTAGTAGTAGTAGTAGTAGTAGTAGTAGTAGTAGTAGTAGTAGTAGTAATAGTAGTAGTAGTAGTAGTAGTAGTAGTAATAGTAGTAGTAGTAGTAGTAGTAGTAGTAGTAATAGTAGTAGTAGTAGTAGTAGTAGTAGTAGTAGTAGTAGTAGTAGTAATAGTAGTAGTAGTAATAGTAGTAGTAGTAGTAGTAGTAGTAGTAGTAGTAGTAGTAGTAGTAGTAGTAGTAGTAGTAGTAGTAATAGTAGTAGTAGTAATAGTAGTAGTAGTAGTAGTAGTAGTAGTAGTAGTAGTAGTAGTAGTAGTAGTAGTAGTAGTAGTAGTAGTAATAGTAGTAGTAGTAATAGTAGTAGTAGTAGTAGTAGTAGTAGTAGTAGTAGTAGTAATAGTAGCTGTCCCACTTCGTTTTCATCATCATCACCACCATACATACATACATACATACATACATTCATTCAGTCATTCATCTATCTATTCATTCATTCATTCATTTATCTATTTATTCAATCATTCATCCATCCATTCATCCATTCATTCACCAATCCAGTCAGTCATCATCAGCACAATAACAATCACCAACCACCACAACTTCAGGGTCTACTAAATTTACTGGCAATATTGAACCTCTTTGTTGACAACGTTCTCTTGTCTGATAAGATCCTTGTGCTCATCTTCATTTTGATGGAGACAGCCTTCTTCCGCAGGTTCATAAAGTTGACCGTCTTCTCATTAAGCGTGGCCGTCAGTTTTGTTTTTAAATATGATTAAATATTTTTATAATAATATTATAATAATTATAATCGAATATAATAATAATATAATAATTATAATCGTTGTAGTGTAGATAGGAGACGTAGTGTAGACGGTGATGCGATAGGTGGGGATGTCTTAGCATTCGAATGCGGTCACTAAGACACTAGGGTCAAGAGTCATATTTAGTGTTTGTTGCTTAGTTCATAAGTGAGTTTAGCCGTGATGTTAGAAGGGGCTAGTAATTCCATGGTGGGGGTTTTGAAAGTGGTATCCGATGAGTGACTGACTGAATGAAAGCGAATAATGGAATAATTGAAAATAGTGAATGGTTGTAGTAATGAATGAATGAATGAATGAATGAATGAATGAATGAATGAATGAATGAATGAATGAATGAATGAATGAATGAATGAATGAATGAATGAATGAATGAATGAATGAATGAATGAATGAATGAATGAATGAATGAATGAATGAATGAATGAATGAATGAATGAATGAATGAATAAATGAATGAATGAATGAATGAATGAATGAATGAATGAATGAATGAATGAATGAATGAATGAATGAATGAATGAATGAATGAATGAATGAATGAATGAATGAATGAATGAATGAATGAATGAATGAATGAAGGAATGAATGAATGAATGAATGAAGGAATGAATGAAGGAATAAATGACGGAATGAATGAATGAATGAACGAACGAACGAATGAACGGACGAACGAATGAATGAATGAACAGGCTACTGAACCAACAAAAGAATAAAACTAAATAAGCGAACCAATAATTAATTAAATATTTACATTAAAATTAGTTTAATCACTAATTAGCTAATCAGTTAATTAATTAATCACTTAATTGACTAATTAACCCCAAAGGAGATGTACTGGTGGACTGTCAATTTGATTGTAATCTGTACTCTGCTTTGGACAGTCACAGAGTTATACTTTGAAATCTCCTATGTCAAATACGCCTTTTCATTTTTATACTTTGGTCTCTTAATAATCTTAGGCGGATTATTCTTCTACAAGGTTAGTTTTGTGGAAAAGTGTTCATATTAAATGAGTTGGTTCTGGTGGATAGATTGTTTAATATATTGATAGATTGTTGGAAAAATATGAGTTTTATGTTCTTTCTATCAAATTCATTCTCTCTTTCTTACGTCTCCTTCTACTTCTTTCTCTATCTTTCTCACTCTTTCTCTCTCTCTCTTCTCTCTTTCTCTCTCTCTTTTTTCTCTTTTCTCTTTCTTTCTTTCTTTTACTATCTTTCCTATTTTTTCTTTCACTCCCCTAATTTTAATACCAGCCAATGTATCAAGTTGCTACCTTTTAAAATTGAGGTCTCATTGTGTATTAATTCACGACTGTTCTACAGGCCAAGTTGAGAAAGTCATCGCTGGCTGCTAACAGCACAGTTTACAAGGTCTGTCTGTCTTTCGTGATGTGTTTTTGTATGTGTTTTTTCTCTCTCTCTCTTTCTTTCTCTCTCTCTCTTTCTTTCTCTCTCTCTCTCTCTTTCCCTCTTTCTCTCTTTTTCTTTCTGTATGTTTATTGTGTTTTTTTATTATTTGCATATTATGCCACTAAAATAAAACATCTACCACCCCAACTGCTTATAATAAATAATAATAATGCCAACGACAACAACACAAACTAAAAGGTCATAATTATTGCGCCATAATTATTACGTCATAATTATTGCGTCATAATTATTGCGTCATAATTATTACGCCATAATTATTATGCCATAATTTTGTAAATATTAAGGACGCCTTGAAAGACTTCCAGCGAGATGAAAGTACAGCAACGTCCGACACGTTATCTCTTCAGTCGGATCAAAATGTGAAGTCCAGAGGCCAGTCCTTCGATCTGAGAGAAGATTCCAAGTCCTTAGACTACTAAAATATTAATATTATTATTACTATTATTGTTGTTGTTGTTGATGACATTAGTAGTATTAGTATTGTTGTTGTTGTTGTCGTTGTTGTCATTAGTAGTAGTAGTAGTATTGTTTTTGTTGTTGTTGTTGTTAATGTTGTTGTTGTTGGTACGTTTTTGGAGCAAATCATTAGAATTCACTCCATTAGACATTTTTCTTGCTGTTTAGTTTCTGATTTTATTGAGTGAAAAATAAATTTTTCCAAAATTTTTCAAACTTTTTCTTATTTTCATTGTTCCTTTCCGAATTCTTTTCTCATAAATAATTCTCTTTCGGTAGAGATGTGTCCAGGGCTCAAGAAGAAAATCAGACAAACAAAATAAATGAAAACCAAAAAATTAATAAGAATAAATTTGAAAATGATGAAAAAAAGAAAAAGAAAGAAAAACAATAAAAAATGACGTCACCATGACCGTGTTCGAATCCCAGCCACCATGACCGTGTTCGAATCCCAGCCAACCACAAGTTACATGTGTTGTGAATCGTGCCTTCGCCCAACAATACTACTAATACAAAAACAGTAAAACAATACTAGTAAATTTATACATATATATTGAATGAAATAATTAATATTTTTCATTATTTTATTTATATAATTTTTAATTATCTATTTCACTATTTGATAAGCAGATTATGCTTTGATGTTGGGTGGGTGCTTCACAGATATGGCTTAGTCATTACGGAGAAGTTGTGTGTGTGCGTGTATGTGTGTGTGTGCGTATGTGTGTGTGCGTGTGCGTATGTGTGTTTATGGATGTCTGTACATACGTGCATGTACGTATACCGCCTTTTCTATGAGGACGCTCTAATCTCTTTTTATCTCTCTTTATTTATTCATTCATTTGTCCACTCTTTTCCTCCTATCAATTCTTTGCTGCTTTCTTCTTCTCCATCCGTCAATCTATCCTTTTAACCCATTTTATTCTTTTATTGTTTTAAGTTTTTTACTTTCATTATTACTATCTTTCTCTCTCGTTCTTTTTCATTCTTTCTTTTTCTTTTCTTCTCTTACTTTCTTTCCATTTTACGCTCTTTTTAGATTTTTTTTGTTTTATCATTATAAGATTTTACTCTACCCTTCTCTTCGTATTTTTATCTCTCCATTCATTTTATGCAATTTCCTAATTTTTTTCTGTTCACTCACTCTTTCTTCTTCTCTCTCTTCCTTTCTCTCTCTCTTTTGTTTTTAGTCCGACCGTCCTTTTGATTCTATTTTTCCCATCCATCAATCTTCGTGCTGTCTCTTTCTTTATCTGCTTCTCTTACTTTTATTTCTTTCTCTCTCCTTCTCTCTTTCTCTCTCTATCTTTTCTTTTTTTTTCTCTCTCTCTCTTTCTCTCTCTCTTTATCTTTTCCTCTTTCCATCTTTCTCTCTCTATCTTTTCTTCTCTCTCTCTCTCTTTATCTTTTCCCCTCTCTTTATCTTTTCCTCTTTCTTTCTTTTTCTCTCTATCTTTCTCTCTTTTCTTTCTTTCTCTCTCTTACGTTCTCTCTCTCTCTCGCTTTCTTTTTTTCTCTCTTCCTCTCTCTTTATAGTAATTTTGCTGATTAAAACATCTCTGAGTTGAATTCTTTTGAATCGCTTATTTTCACCCTATTTCACCGTTCATCCTGATACTCTTCCTCCCTCCCTCTCACCCTCCCACCCTCTTTCCCTTCCACCCTCTCTCTATCTCCCTCTCTCTCTCTCTTATCTTGCTTTTTCTCACTTACTTTTTCTTTATTTCAGTTCATCATCATTTATTTTCCATCATCTATTCACCGATCCGTGCATCATCTATCAGTCTATTTTTGTGTAAAAATTCGTTTTATTATTTAAACAAAAAAATTCATATTTTCTGCTTCTAAATTTATAACCTCTTTGTCAAAGAGGCGTACATACATATGCTTGACTATCTATCCAATTATCTCTCTCTCTCTCTCTCTCTTTCTCTCTTTCCCTCTCTCTTTTGTTCATCAATATACAAAAAAATTTTTACGTGTATATTTAAATGTGTGTTGTGTAGTGTATATGAATTGAAGAAAATCTGTCTGTGTGCGTGTGTATGTGTGTTAGTATTTGCGTGTCTGTGTGTGTGTGAGTGTAAGTATGTATGTATGTGTGTATCCTTATCTGGGAGTGTGTTTGCTTACGTTTATGTTTTTTATAAATGTTTGAGTGTGTGTATGGT